AAATTACACAGGGCGTCCGGTAAATCGAGCTGCAATCGGGTAAAGTTGTAATTCCGCGCGAGTGAGGAAAAAAATATAACAAACAGGTGTGCCGGAGGAATTTTAATGAAACAATTCTTTTTCTCTCTGACCGTGTGATTGTCGAGAAACAAAGTCAGTTGTCTCGAAAATATCCGGTGCGTGTCTATTCGATTATATACATCGAGAACAACTCTCGAGAACAAATATCAAATTGATGTGGTTCGCGTGCTCATTGCTGTGGCAGCGCGTGCAAGTTTCTTCCTCCCGAGGAAACTTGACCAATAAATAATTCCTTGTTAAGCCGTCCTCGACTTGAAAAAGAACGATCGTCTTGATGCGCGCGGGTAAAGAGACCGTGGCCTTTGGATGCCGCGGGCGGAGGAAGCGAGAGGGATAGGAGAGAGCGGCAACAACGGGGCCGACGATAATAAATAGGACGATGGATTCAGCCTGCGCGATTCGGCGAGTTTCCGCGGCGCTTTTATATAAATAACACAGACGAAGGCGCAGCGTGGCTCGTAAAACTGAATTATGTCCCACCTACATCGCCGGTACTCCCGTCACGCCGCGTCCGTCCGCCACGCGCGGTTTTTCAGCGCGATTCGCCGCGGTCATTCGCCACCACGTGTGCACGCGATCGTACGTGCGGGTTGCATTCGCGAACGGTGGGTGCCGATGGGAGCAGAGGGAGACCCGTTAGAAATACGATCGTGATTGACCGGCCGCCGCGAAGGACGACTTTATCCGCGTTTCCTCGAGGAAACTCGTGATTTTTAAGTCTCTTTCGACGCACAAGTACGCGCGATCATCTATCCGACGTCGAACGGAATTTATCGATCCCCCGCCTTTGCTTTACTAAGCTTTGTCAGCATGCGATCGTATTTCGCGCGGCACGGTATCGCGACGTGAATACGAATTCGAGAGATTTTACGATGTCTCGCGCGGAAGTTTGCCTGATGAAATCGAATACATCCATTAATTTTTTATGAGGATTTCTCTCTCTCGTGATTTTATAAATTTCTTTCAGCACTCGTATTTTGATAGGATAATTTTAGTGTGACCGAGCATTTGACGATTCACTCATAAATTAGTTGTTCATTTTTAAAAGATTTTCTATATAGGAAGATTTTTAAAAGTAGTAGAGTGTTATCTTGAATGTCGCTTAAAGTCGGTTCTACATTAGTTGCAAATCGCAAGATCGTAAGAAAATTTACCAATCACAGTCGATCGTTCTTCTTACGACCAAAGAAGAATTGATTGTGATTGGTCAATTTTCTTGCGACCTTGAGACTTGTAACTAATGTAGAGCGACTCTAATAGATCATTCACTTCTTTCGCGGTGATCACCGTCTCGTTAATTATGGTCGTTTCTATGGACTAGAGCCCGATCTTTTCAGACGCTAACTGCGATAAGTAACACAAAGTGTGCTTGTTGGGAACGAGGATATAGTCGTAAATTTTATGAGTGACCGGATAGATCAAGGTTTAAAATTGCATTGTGCTGGCTAGTGCTAGAAAACCTCTCACTTAGCTGTTTTCACTAAAGACGATAAACTTTAATTCATACGTGAACTAGAATCTTCAAACACTCATTCTATTTTTAGTAGCGATAGCTGATGGTCGTTAGTAAAAGTGACTGTTTGATTGGACAATTATATTCCTTATGCTCCTCCGAAATGTTAGCCCTTTTGTCGGTCCGATAACATCGACGAAATGAAACGGCAGTTTTTATCGCGAAGGTGCAGTTGTAAAACTTTAAGATGCGTTTCTGGCGGAAAAGCCTAGCATGGTGCCCGCGAGAGAAGAAAATGTCGCAACAAACTCATAATGCAGTAAGGAGGTATTTCGTGCGTTGCCGTAAAAACATTTCAAATATATTTCTCATGGCATAGCACATCTGAATGAAGAATAAACTCCAAAGAGAAATCAGCGATGCGTACTGTCTTTGAAAGCTCCGTCCTTAGACCTTGTCGCCGAAATAGGGGATCCATTATTCATCGGCAACTTCGCAGGATTTTTCTCGTGCAAGCCCTCGGACATTTTAGTAAGTGAATTTTACTATGCAGACGAGACTGCGCGCCGAGGAGGGAAATAGCGCGCGGAATATTCACCTACAACGCGCTGCACTTTTACGACAACTAGCGACGGCTATACGAAGGATTCCTTTCTTATCCGACACACGGGCTAGCAATTGCTTTTTCTGCGTATATATATGTGTGCGTATGTACGTATATATGGTGCTCCTTTGTGACCTATCGAGAGAGAGAGAGAGATACGCGGTCCTGTATTTCCAAAAGGATAACTCGCGCCGTACGACTCGCGGATCTTTTAGATTTCGATGTCGATGTTATCCCGCAACGCGGAGCGTAAAATTGAGACGATTCACTTTACAATAGATTATCGGAATAGAAATTTTACAAAGAGGAAGATAAGGTGAACGTAATACCTATGAATTCACTAAAGTTTATCGTACCAGTCCCGGTCTGATCTTATATTTATATCTTAAGGATAATCGCGGCGTCATGATCCTTTTAAATTTCGCGACGTCGACGTTATCCCCGGAGTATAGAATTGAGACGAGTCGCTTTACAACAGATTATCGGAATAGAAATTTTTATAAATAGGACAACAATACGCGGAAACGCAATATCTTCGCAAATTTCATCGTAGCCGCGTCATCCTAAAGCGATAGCTCGGATCAACTTGCGCAGCTCGACTACTTCGCCGGTCAATACGCCGCCAGTCTACGTGAAGCTAGAAGTAGCGTATATTTTTTAACGTGTGCCCGTACATGTACTCGCCTCTAATTAGAGGTAGAACATACGTTTCGGAGCCGAGTTACGTGCGTTGCAATATTTACTCTCCTCCTCTTTGTTTGCGAATATATCTTGTTTCCTGACGATGCTATCACTTTTTGTTATTCTGGAAAATGTTCGGGTCTCTTTACGATAAACCAATTTTTTGTGCTTTATAATCAAGCGGCTGATCCGTCTATTTTTAACTCATTTAACTGATGACGCTTTATTTTCGCTGCTACACTGAAATAATCGTGTTGCTTAGTCGTTATTTTTAAACAATTTGGACTGATAACCGGTCTTTGGAATATTAATAAGAAAAGAGGTAGAGTTACAATGCTCGGTAAAAGTTAATGTTGTTGATAAGACACGCGTTTTGCCAATTTTCTCTTCTCGCGAGAATCTGAGAGCACGTTCGAAAACACGCTGTATACCTTCCCGGCATTATCGTGTACTACCGAGTGATACGGTGCGTGTCGGTATTACCGTCTTAACGAGTCGGTCTTTTAATTCGACAGAGCAATGTGCGAAATTCTCAGGAATTATCTTCAATCCCTTGCCGCGTGACGACGACGAGCGGAATCGTTTCCGTGTGCATGCTCATCAGTCTGCCGAGGACAACGTGTTGAGGCATATAGGAAAGCGGGGAAACTTCGCTACAGCGAATTTCCATTTAGAGAGATTTCGCGATAACCGCAGAGCCGGTGTAAGTCTTCGCGGATTGGCGCGAGATAAGAACAACTCCTAGCGCTTTCTTCCGTTGCAGATTGAAAATAAGTAGGTACAGATTGTGCGATAATTCGGCTCTCGCGCCGCGTCCCGTAGCGTCCATTTGTTTAGCCTTTTGTTAACGAGGCAGACCTTGGCTAGGGCACGATAGGTATCTCAGGTTCTCTCTGTTAATTCGCATTGTTTTCCCGCGTTAGAAAACGAGCGCATTTTTGCACGAGGTGTCGTGCAAAACGACGCGACGTTTGTTGAAAATAGACAGATTCGACTTTTCTTCGGAAAATTTTAATTCACACCTAGTGTATGCCATAAATGCGTGAAAATTATGTCTTTCTGTGTAGTGTAAATCAGTACATAGCTGTCTCGGTGTATACTGTCGCTGTGCGCATTCGGCGCTAAATGCAATTGTCTGACTCCGGGGTGTAATAATGTGATCTACATGTGAAGCTCAGAATCGGGAATGGCCACATTTCACGCTAAATGTGCGCCAGGGCGCGCTCCTTTGTGTATAAAATTACGTTATCGTGCAAGTCGTAATATGAGACTTTATATTAACGCGAGGAGGTACACGCAGGAGGCGTAACTAATTAAGCAATCTTAATATCCCGTAAGAAACGATATTAAACTGTGTGGTTGGTTGGAGACGTGGCGTTCAGCACGCGCGTGTTCCTCGTTGTAACGAGATAACATTAGCGCATATTAATAAAGGCCGATACGCGGAAATTGCGGTTTCGGCATCGTGCGTGTCCTTCGACGTAGGGTTTCGGCATGGGCCAAGGGTGAATTGCAAAGGGCGGTCCGGGGCCATTTATTATCCCCATTATCGTGCTTCTGACCTCACTGTCTGTTCCCTCAGGACTCGAACACACCTATAACATACAATCCCCTTTCACTCTCGACAATACTGCCCTTGTCTCGCTGTCGAAATATAGTCGACAGCATCGATAGCTCTGGAACCATGTTCGATCGTGTTTCGGCGAGCATTTGTCTGTCCACCATCTACGACAATGTATTGACAAGAGAACAGTCTGATCAAGAGGTTTTAATTAACGGTGTCAATATCTAGGTGTCCATCAAGTATTCTAGGAGATACTCGGCTATACCATCATTTATGAGGTTATTTTTCCAATGATAATAAATATTGATGGTAATTAACGGCAAATGCCGTTGCACGCTCGTAGCTATTTAGGAAATTAAAGGTACTCTCCGTGCATTTATGGTACAATCAATGTTTAACAAGTTTTTAATTTGTTAGATTCTCGAATGTGTATACGTTTACAACACACTCGTCATTTTTATTTAATATTGTGTGTACTATGTCGAGTATACAAATTACTAAATGTTCGAGCAATTTGGTCGCGAATATTTTAGTGCGTCAATATAACGAGTGGAATGGATAGGCGATTTGAATAACTAGTAGACGTCTTGATGTGTGCATAATTATTTACGACTTTGAATATTTGAATATTAGAGTTTACGACTTTTATTTTCCAAGTTTTACAATAATAGCTGTCTAGTTAGGTACTTAATAGGTATCGGAGTGTAGAATCATTCAATTTCCAGTTTTCGGAATATGCCGGCAACTCCGAATAATTCATCCGGATTTATCACGCCATCACTTCGGAGGGATTCATTGGCCTTCAATTTCTCCTGTTCTATTAACCAGTCTCTTTTTTCTTTCAATTTCGCACACCACATATCTGGAATAGAATACCACCCAAATAAGAGCACTTTTTGAATTATTTTCCTTTAATAATGAGTACTTAGATTTCCGAGTTTAGATATTAATAGATTTATATGTAGAGAATGAAAATATTGTTAGTAAATATTGAGGAGGAGCGGACAATTTTCCATAAAAATGAAGATAGCGTATTGAAAATATATCATACGTGAGCTCTGCGAGACTTGATGTTTCATCACACGCATTTAGATATTCGTGAAATCGTTAATAAATTTATGTGTTTACAATATTGAATGATGTTATACCTGTTAAAGTATCCAGTGATAGTTCTTCGCCGCCAAAATCCGCCGGTAAAATGGATTTTGGTATAATTCCTTTTAGCGATTCAATTCCGGATTCGAAAACATGAATCTAAAAATATCACCGTTAGTCGATACTTTACAATTTTTTTTATAAGTTACAAATTTTTTTGTTCTGCCAAATGCGGAACAAAATGAAGATTATGCAATAGATATATTTGAACTTGTACGATATTATCTTGTACTTACTCTGTCATAAAATTTTGGACTCATAAACATTTTAATCAACTTTACAAATTGATCGATATAAGATGGAGAGTTTATCATATAAATTGCTTTGTATCTTATACCGTATGCCTCCTGAGCAATTTAAATAAATCACAAATTAATTTAAACAAAATATTACATAGAGTATGTATGGAACATATGATTACATACCATACTAAGGTCACATTTTTTTAACAAGTTTGGTGTGAATTTCAGTACATGAGCAAGAGTAAAATTGGTGCAATCCCAAATTGCAATATCAGAATTAACCATGTCTTCTTCCGTACGTACATCCATTAACATGTAGAAATACCTGTAACGTAAAAAAACAATGCGTCTTTCGTCGATTGTATTTTAATTTTTTTCACCTAGAATGCATTTATGCATTCCAAGTACTTTCGGTTTCAAGATCGTGGCAAAATTTTTTAAATTTTGATTATGACGACGAAACTGATGACTCGAGAAAGAATGCGATCATTAGAAACGTGGATTCTTCTTTATAATACTTTCTAATAGAAACAAACAGAACATATGTCATCCGTTAAATTTTCATGGTACGATTTGTCGTGAGTTTTCTCTATTTGATTCAAACTACGGACACTTCATCCGTATACGTATATACAATTCGTGCGCGGGAAATACTGCTACGATTTGAACGACTTCACGAATTTTACGTATTTTTCCTTCTCATTCTGTTGCGCCATCGATTTCAACCTTTTCCTTCGATATGAGTCGTCCGGTAGAATGTAACTGTGGAAGCAGGAAGAGACGACGAGGTATCTTGTTTCTATCTCATTATCGATAATAGCAAGCAAGAGAAAGAGAGAGAGGAGGTTGCGTGTTTATACGAATAGAAAAGGAGATGCGGAAAGACGGGTCGAGAGAAAAGGAGAGAGGATTCCAAAGCTGCGTGGATAAGACGACGAGATCGATCGATTGGATCGGTTGAACAGTTCCTCGCGAAAATGCTCGGACGGAAATTACTCGCGGGCGTTAAATAATAATTTTGTCGGCACCGAGCGCGAGCACCGCGTGGATTCCGATAATATGGAAAGTTTATAATGTCGCGTGTAGAGCGCGGGCACAGTTTCTCCTCTTCGTCTCTGTTTTATCATCGTTGCTCGCTACCGCTGTCCCTTCGTAGCTTTATGCAATGACTTATGCGTTGCCGGCCTGTGAATACAACGCGTATTTAAGCTCACTTTTATAGCGTCCCGCGACTTACTACGAGTAATTTCTCTCGTAGATGGTTTTCATACAGTAGTAGCAGCTCTTATAGCGCAATTGTGCCATTGTTGGGTGACGATATATCTTTGCGACGAGAAGGACACAATGTGTTCGCGAGATGAAACTTCAGTGTCATTCTAAGATGTCGATATGAGATATATACTTGCTTATGTAATTTGTACATACTTCATCATATTCGAGAGACTAAACATAGATGCGTCTTTCCATACTTGAACAAAAATGACTCTGTATTTTTCCGGCGTCAACTTTGGTAGAGGTGTCATTTGCCTGCAACATATTGATGAAGACACATTTAACACAAACACGATAAAACAATTTTACAAAGACAATAATCAATTCGTAATTATTCTATTTTTCTATTACGATAATTCTCCAATTATCGTAATTATTCTATTTTTGTATACTCTATATTTTATGTAAAATTTGCTGTTATTATTAAAAAAATATATAAATAATATATTAACTTCACGGAAAATACGCGAAATATCTTATATCCAAGCAAAAATTATCCGAAGCAAATTCGTATAATATCCATTCGTATATACATAAAATTTCATATTTCTTATTTATCTTTCATTATTATATTAAATTTTAATTAGTGATTATTCTCTTTGATATCCATCTTCATATATAACATATTGTTAAAATCAGAATAATATAACAGTAGCATATGATTTATACTTACAAGCTTTTGTGAAATTGAGTAATATCGTCGCCCAGTGGGTCAAAGTTGGCGAAAAACTCGGGAATCAAAGCACGAAGAGTGTACAGCGAGTCTATCCGTTTTTTAGCTTTTTCCAGATTGAATTTTGAAGTTAAAATAGTTCTCTGCAATCGCTTGTTCGAGATCTCTGCGTGAAATATATGATTGTGTTCGAGTTTTACATCATGTTTTACATCATGTTAATGCATGTCATTACATTCATTCTTACTGTCTCAGTCGACACATACAATAATAGAATGTATTAAGATAACTTCATGAATGGTTGAATCTAAGTAATTGACGTTCGTGTCTCATAAAATGATTAGTTAAAAATAATTCCATTAAGATCTTACAAGGAAACCTATACAAGTGTCCGCCTCCGATTTTCGATGAACTTGTAATATGTTGTACTTTAGATAAAAATAACAGATACATTTTTTATTATATGTGCTCTTTCGCAAGTTTAGGGGCCGAAATATCGGTTTTTTCATTCGAAGGGAATATAATAAAAAATATGAGATAGAAAAAAATATTTTGAATAAAAGTTGGATAGTTTGAAGAGTACTTTACAGAAATTATTTTAATAATTATAATAAGAAGAAGTGGTGAGGAAAATAAAAAAAAAATTTTTTTTTTTCAAATAATTTCTGTAATCTCTTCAAACCATTAAACTTTTATTCAACATATTTTTTTCTATTTCTTATAGTTTTCATTATATTTTTTTCGAGTGAAAAAACCGATTTTCTTCAAAAAGATATTTTATCCCCTAAACTTGCAAAAGGGCACATATAATAAAAAAAACGTATCTGTTATTTTGATCTAAAATACAACATATTACAAGTTTATGAAAATCGGAGGCGGACACTTGTATGAGTTTCCTTGTAAGATCTTAATGGAATTACTTTTGTGAGTTTCTTTGTTAGTCACTTAAGTCATTTAGTAATTATTTGATAAAAATATATCTATGACATAACATTATTTAAATGTTTTGTAGATTCGAAAGCGCCATGTAAATTAATTAATGTAACTTGTCCGAATCTTAAAATGCAAACCTTGAGGAAGATGTATTTGCTGTTGAAGCCACTGTCGAAGTTTATCGATCATCTCTTCGAAAAGCTGCTCATTTCCTTCAGCTACCTCCGTTGCTTCCTTAAACGTGATGTCCTCCAACTTGATCATGCCCATGGTATTGTTTGTTTCTTACAAGAGTTTTAGACAGACACAATCTAAAATTTGTCCCCGTGTTAAATTATGTGATTATTGGAACATGTTATTCTTATTATTGTTATTTTCATTATATTTACAAAGATTTCACCGCGATATTTCAAGATTGTATAACAGTGCGCACGCGACGTATCTTTTAATTAATTTATTCTCACATTTAATTTATATATTAAAAAAATTATTAATCCCTCTCACATTCTTTCTTCCTCACCTCGGTTTGCTTTACAAATCAATATTTTCTGTTTTATATATATTTTTAGATTCTTTCTTATATACGAAGAAAAATAATTTGCTGGCCCAGCAAATTTTCTGCTGGTCTAGCAAAATTTTTTCGTTATTATATGGACAGCAAAAAAATTTGCTAAGAATACTAATCACTATTTGCTGGATATAATTTGCTGAATCTACAAATTATTTTGCTATAAGAACCATGATGGATTTATATAAGCAGTTGCAGTTTTGCTCCAATAGCAAGTAAATTTGCTAAGGATACATTATTTTGCATCAATAGCAAATTAACATGATTCTTAGGACGAATACACTCAACAAATTTTATTCTATCCTGGCAACGAAACTACTTCTGCTCTGATAACGAATAATTTATAAAATTAGTTAGGTCAACTAAATTTTTTTGATGTCACTACGAATATGTAGTAGCAACGACGATTTTGTTAAAAGAGCAAAATTATTTTTCTCCATGTACTGCAATTGATAATAGTAATCGCACAATAGAACACTATAGAAAGATATTAAAAATAAAATTAAATCAGTAAAAGTTACGCTACATTAATGTATATCTTCGCAATGTGCTCGTTTTGACGGTCACTTTTCGACTAAATAAGTTATACTGAGCGCGATGCTTATTATCTTATATATCTCGCTATCTATATATATCTCGCATATTAAGGGTGATATAAAAAAATCTGTAAAAAAAATTGTTGTCGATGATATATGTAATTAATATGTTTGGCTTAAGTGTTTACGTTATACATACTAAATAAAATTCATTATCATACGATTAACATCTAAAAATAAAGCGACGACAGAAAAATTTAGTTGACGTAACTTATTTTATAAATTATTCATTATCAAAACAGAAGTAATTTCGTTGCCAGGGTAAAAAAATTTGTTGAGTGTATTTGCTATCGGAGCAAAACTGCAACTACTTATATAAATCTATCATGGTTCTTACAGCAAAATAATTTGTAGATTCAGCAAATTACATCCAGCAAATAGTGATTAGCACTCTTAGAAAATTTTTTTGCTGTTCATATAATAACGAAAAGATTTTGCTAGACTACCAGAAAATTTACTCGGCCAGCAAATTATTTCTCTCCGTGTATATTTTGTTATTAATGTGTCTAATTACTCTGTTATGTTTTGTCGGTGCATTAATATTGGTGCGAATGACTAATCAAATTTATCGCAAGTGAAGATTAGAAAACGATGATGGAAGTCTTGCAGAAATATTCCGCGTTACCGATGGCCGACGGATTGTTTCATTGTTGCTTATTGTTATTCTTTCTTGTTTCCTGGCGCTTCGCTCGGCTCTCACCTGTAAGCCTGCGGTGCGGGCGTGCGCGCGCAATTTATTCTCTTGTAAAATAACTGCGCGCGGGCATCGGCCTGGTTGTAGTACCGTGTGCAATTATGCAAAAACTATGCTAATAGAAATTGCATAGAAAAATCCATTTATAACACCGGTAAGAAGGATGGGGAATAGAAATAGCGGGTAGGAGTGGCGCGCGCGGTCACGCCTTGGGTGATGTCGGCCTTGGAGCGAAGACGCGGTAGGATAGACGGAAGGAATCTTAGTAGCGAAAGAGAGATTTGCGATAATAATAAAAAAAAGCGTCTGCATTATGTAAATGTAAAAAATGTATGCTAAACGAGTCGCATATCAATTATGCCGACTAAAATCGATAAACACACCGTCGCATCTTTTTTTCCTTGTCATTGACCTCTCTCATTCGACTTTTCACTTGCTCTCTGATATCTTTGCCTTCGTCTAATAGTCTGGTGTAATAGTCTAGTTGTCTGATAGTCTAACGTCGATAAAATAAACGTCGATCACACCGCAGTGAGGTCACGCAGCAATTAACGTAAAGACATGCTCGAACCTGGGAAAAAAGATTGCGGTGTTCAATCACTCAACCTTTTCTCCTTTCATTTCCCAGACGCGTCCCCGATAGATTTTTTCCAGTTTTCCAAGCTGAAATGAAAATTGGATGAGTTTTTAAATCTTTTAACGAACTCCCTAACATAGTAGTAAGTACCTTCGATATTCTACAGAAATCTTCAATTATTTTTCTAGAGGGTTTTAAACTATTAGTAGTTGCATTATCGTGATGCAAAATCCATGAATTCTCGCCACAAATCAGGTTGTTTTCTACAAATTGCTTCACGCAAACCACGCAAAATAATATTCAAATAATATTCTTTGTTGACAGTTTGGTCAGTCTAAAGGAATTCGTGATGTACAACACCGCGACAAAACCACCACGTCGAAGACGTCAATAGTCAACATTACCTTGACTTTTTATTGACTGACGTAGTTTTTTTGGTCTTTACCTTTCCAGCGCCATTTACTTGATTGTTGAGCTATATTTCGATAATATTACGAAAAAATTACGCTATTTCAAAAGCGTAGATCTATGTTTCATCATCCATAATGATGCGTTTTAAAAACGATTCGCCTCCGGAAAGTATCTCTTCGCTCACTTAAACACGTTATTTAAAAAAAAAATTCAATGTTTTCATGTTTAATAAGGTTATTTTTAGTTAATTTTATATTAATATTCATAGGCATAAATTTTTTATTTCTCTATCGTAAGAAAGGTAAAATGATCGATTTAGCAGACAGAAGTTTTATGTTCTTCTGTCCTTAAGGTTGAAAAAAAATTTTTTCAAATATAAAAAATTTGAAAAATCTAATTCCATATTTAATGAAAAATTTGCTGTTTTTGTCAAAAGTTACTAATGATTTAACCTAACACCTCTACCTACGTTAGTATCGTATAATTATTGCCAATAATTAATGGGATATGTATTTATTATTATTAATTATCATTATCACGTACATAAATACATCGTCTTTATTCGCTATCTCTCCACTTACTTCGTGAGACTTTTAATTAGAAGTTTCACGGTAAGTGTGATTCGATACAACGTGATCCTGTAGACTGCTTAACGCGATAGTAATTTTGCAGGAACGAAGTTTTGGTCGTGGGTCTGAAGGCTACCATGGTCGATGTGGTCTTATAGTCTCGGTTATCGTGAATAGCCGCTAAAAAAAAGAGAGATCGAGGTCACAGAATGGCGGTTATCGTTTCCAGAGAACCCAGTCGGTGCAACCGGTTTTGGCTCAGCCATACGGTTAATGAAGGAGGTTACCCTCAGCAAAGGTTAATGGCACAATGGTGGGTCGCGTTTTCATCGTCTTGGTCATTTCAAAGGACCACCTGCCCTTTATGGCTTCGAATTTCTGTAGCATATTGCATGAAATCTCGGACGCGTATGTAATGATTTATTGACAGGGTTGCGGGGCAGGTTAGTTAAACAATGTTTACACATTAATTACAATCTAAAGTATATATTTGTAACGCGCACGCATGAATATAAGAAAATGTTGCGTTTCACAACAGAGGCATGCCGATTTTAGCACTCAAAATATTTGCAGATAATTGCTCAAAGGTTATCATCGAATTCGATAAGAACTTTAGTCACGGTGTTGTTAGTCTTAGATCGGTAAATTGGATTGTGTTACGGATTTACGGAATATACGGGAGCGTGTGTTTCGCACCGTCACTTTCACAAGGTTGCTAATGCACAAAGGATCGTTAGGTTGAATCAAATTATCACGGGAAAATGCATTATATATAGGGATAAGCTGAACCTGCCACTTGTAACGGTCATTGCTAATTACTTGGAATATCAAGCGTATCGAGAGCTCGATTGAGTGTCTCGTCAACCATTGAGCACACGAGTCTTGTCGGTACGATGTATCTGTCACGTTCATTGGCCGGCGCGTGTACAACAACCTACGTACACGCTCTGTACATCCGTGTTCCCTCATTGTTGCCGCCCCGCGAAAATGTTGTCAGCAGTCATTTTTCACGCGCGCACAACCGGAAAATTGCTACATCTCGCACCTTTCGAGTTATATCTTTCTTTCTACGGTCACCAAACGCATAGTCGATATATTTCCTTTATCTTTTCTTCAAATTACGCCATTGAATATAACGCGAGAACATTAGAAAAATACGAAGACTCGTTATTTCCTTGATCAGACATACAAAAGTCGATGCGTAGTTAAGTAAAACATAATTTTGAGTTAATTATTTTTGCGCTATTATTGTCGTCATCATAGTTGTCGATAATCCTTTTTCGTTAGTTAGTTTTGTAAGTCTCCGGGCGTTATTATGCAGTTTTCTCAATTTTCAGTCGGTTCCTTTCGGTTACGTCAGCGGGAAAAAGGGAGAGAGAGGACCGCAGCACTTTGCGACTGCCAATCCATTCAGCTTCAAAAAACATTATCGGGCAGTTTTCGTCAGTCAACTTTCTCTCTTTCTCTCTCTCTCTCTCTCTTTCTCTGTCGTTTCTCATTCCGCGCGTCCCGGGGTTCAGAACGAGCAGAACGAGCTTTTAACGTGCGTTGTCAATTTACGAGGCGCGACAAATGCGGCTTCCCGTGGCAGGCGTCGGCCAATGCATCGGCTCGAGTCCCGATAGAAAGCTGGCTTGGGCAGCGTTGAACAATGGGCAATTTTCCGCGAGCGCGCGCGACAAGTTTCGTCCGCCGTTTCTCCGCGACGATTAGACAGGGAGAACGCGAGGAGGTAATGGCGGGAGATCCAATCTGCATTTGTAATGACGAACGGTGAAGGTGACACAGTGTCTGACCTCGCTGCAAGGACATTGGCCATCTATTAACCCCCGGGGCCATACGTCCCCTACCGGTTCTCTGTCACGGCAACCACCTACAGCTACCACTGTCCCTTAAATGATCCTCAACCAACGCTATTCGCCGTCGTTCTCGCGATGCAACCGCTCGACACAAAGTCCGTCGTGTGTAACCGCGGGAATGTGACTTGTACAATACGTAACTTGCGCGGTTTCCAGAATGATTGATGTCACGTTGTTGCAATTAATACAATACCATCCCTCTCTGCGTATTTTCAGCAAAAGTATTCAACTGCAATCGTGTGTCTAATTTAACGGGTGTACGTGGCGATGGCGGTATTTTCGCGAGGGGACTTGGCGTCGAATTTGGTAGTTTTGCAGTGTCGCGCTGGTGTTTCGCGCTGGTGATTTCGCGCCGTGGACAATGGAGGATAAAAATTTGGCCGTTGCTCTCGCGAGAGGAAAGCCGTACGTTGCCATCGCGAGATTTCGCCGCTAATCTCCGGCATTAACTTAGTGTCCAATTGGAAACCGCCGTAATCCAGTCTGCATCACCGAATTTAATTCCCTTAACGAGGTCTTGCCACTCGAGCATTTCGATGCTTTGGCTGGAGAGCCATATCAATTAATTATTATTCTTGCGGCTAGACTGAGTTTCCACGGGCTGACCGCTTATACGTGTGGTGAGCTTTGCCTATTCCCTTTATCATCTCTGTTATATTACATTTTAGAGGGAACCTAATCAGTTACGTGTGAGTTGCGCTTGCGCGCTCGCCGCGGTTGAAGTGAAATTTGCGCAACTAATTTTTTCACGCACACGCCTCGGTGAATTATCGAATCCGAGGAGCCGCGTATGATATGTTCGTGTGCGCATATATGCTAAACTTGCGCGTGTTCTTTCGTTGAATGTACATCCGTGATAATGCTCGTTGCACTAATTATCTTGTAACAGGCACTAAAGCATGAGCGTGCACCGACAAAAATACGACAAAATCAATCAACGGAGAAACAATTAATTAGGGATTGCTGATTACTTGCTCATTTGTA